ATTTTGAGGAATATTTTGAAAAGGCAGAATATTATATTTCCCTAGACGAGAAATAAAGAAACATGTTTTTTTTTTTAGAGGCAGGGAGTAGCCCCAGTCTCCCTGCCCCCAAGCAGAAACTGAGGTGGCATCTTTTAGAAATGCAGATTTGGTAATCCATTCAAGACAGGATATTTTGAAACCCCCTTCAGCAAAGCCTAAAAAAGGCAGAATGGTAGGATTAGAAGCAGCCCCCTCACTCGAGATCCAAACCAGGACAAAGCCATTAAGCCACAATGGGAATTGCCCAACACCCTTTCAGAACACAAGCCACTTTATCGCATTACCCTCAGAGCAGTCTTCACCTGGGAGCTCAGATAAACATTAATCCAAAAGTTATCCAGATTAGTTCAAACAAGTACCTAGGATTTCCATTTCCTCTTTTGCCCATAGAGCCAGCTATGACCCCTACATGACCCCATAGGAATCTGACAACAGCCTGTAGGATATATATGTTCTTGCACAGGAACAGGAAGCTCAAGTGCAAAACCCGAAGAAAGTCTAAAAACCCACCCACTCTCAACTCCAGGTTGTCAACTGCCCAGAATCACATGTGGTTCTGCTTCATCAATAAACCATCTTTCCAATCAGCCTCCATGTTTCTAATGCTTTTCAGCTTGGAACTGAACCAGATGGATATTTCTCCTCACAACCTTTTTCAAAGTTAGAGAAAAGCAACATGGGGTTTTCCAGGTATCCTGGATGACAGAATTTCATAAATTTCAAGCACTCCTGCCAAAACTGGTGGATTAAAACACGTGGAGACATTTTTCTGCCAAGTTTGCTGTAATGTTTGGGGTATTCATATGCTATTCTCCCTCTGCACAACACCAAGAATCCAACTCTTCAAAGCCTAAGAGGGCTTGTTAAACAATTCTAAGATTAACTTTATAGTTTTCAAAACTTTGGGCAGCTTGACAACTTCCCTAGTGACCTAATTGCTGTTAACTTCTGAGTTGAATCCTCAAAGCATGTCTTGGACCTCCCAATAATTGACATGAACTGTTACTGACTCGCAATTATATTTAGGAGCTAATTGCAACAAATATTTGATTTTATATTTCCCATTCTTTTTTGGGGGGAGGTGCATTTTAACAGCAGATGCTGAGTAATTTTCTAGAAGTTAAAGCATTGAAAAAAGAACATATTAGATTGCTTCCATGCTGGTAAATTTTGATGCAGAAAGATCATCTCGCTGCCCACTTTAATTTTGAGTTACATGAATCTGGAATTAATCAGAGCATCAGTCTGGCTAGTGAAGCTGTTATCATTTACTTCCAAAGACAGAATTAAAACTACTAAAGGTGAGGATTTTATTACCATCACATCCTGGAAGGAAAAACGTTTTGAAGACAATACCTCCAGGTTGCCTTAATTTATTTAAACTGAACTCTGTGCCTTCTTCCTAAAACATTGTTCTGGTGATACTGACCTTAAGGAATTTATTCAGAAATGAAATCCTTCTGATTGTTGCAAACACCAGCAAGGTATATAAATGCTATTTTATTCATTCTTGTATAAATATATATTTAGTTGAATAAGTTGAGTAGTTGAATTGCAAACATAATTTTTCAGTGGATAGGACATCAGAGAAAGAAATTGTTATGATTACATATATATTCTATGAATCCTAGTTATTTTTTATTCTGGGTCTCTCCTTCCAATTTCAACCATTCATAAAATTTATTTCATATCTCATGATATTCTGTCTCGCCTTCATTTTTCAATTCCAACGTCAATCTATCCAAGGAAGTGGAAGTTCTAGTTTTGTGAAAAGTCACACTGCTTCACTTAACTGTAGTTAATTCTAAAAATGATGCATGATTATTCATTGCCTTTCCAGCCTGCTGCTAGTGTTCTGCATTTGCACAAGATAAATTGCAGAAAAATAATTAATAACTTCATGCCATGAAACCCCTCTGCTACAGTTTAAACAAGTTCCTAGTCTATAGTTCTGAAAAGATCATTTTCCCAAATCTGTGAAATGAATTAAGTGTCCTCTGCCTAAGGAACAGCAGTGTCATAAATTCTGCAGGTGAGAAACTCAGCATGTTGTGCATTAGACAATGCACTTCCAAATTTTTGGAGCAGAGCAAATGATTTACACAATAGTATTTGGTGCACACACAGAAAGAGAGAGAATGTACTTAGCACTAGTGATTTGCACAAAATTGTACACACACAATGCAAAGTATCTCCCTTTTAAACTAAATGGAACTGGGGAAGGGAGGGAGGGAGAGGGGAGGAAGGAAGGAAGGAAAAAAGGAAGGAAGGAAAGAAGATGTGATTGAGGTCAAGATATATAAACATACCTTAACCTCAATCACATATTCATAATTCACAATTCATAACAAAAATTAATTGTTTTCTCTTGTAGTTTTGGAATTTGAGATCTAGGGAGAAAGCACAGATACAGTGAAAAAAATGACAATCCTAAATTTTAGCAGATGTTTTAACAGTAAACATCAACAATTGCCAGTGTCTGGTAACTTTGAGCGCATTGGTCAGTAATAACTATTGCCGAGTTGAAAAACACTGTAATACATTATCTATATTTATGTTTTAATAATAAATCCTTTGTGATAGAAAATGCTGAAGATTTATCTTTGGAAGTTACAACATAGGATTTGCCCAATGTTTGCTCTGGTAGTTAAATCGTTTCTCTCTCTCCCTCTCTCTCTTTGACAAAGCATGTATTTTTATCATAATTATCTTTCTGTCTTCTTTCTTTTTATTTTGAAAGTAATATAAAATAAATTTTAAAAATCAGTTTGCAAATATGGAAGAAATTCATTAATATAGGGGGACCAAAATATTGCCAGCAGGTTTCATTCAAACTACAGCTCCTTTTTTTTTAACTTCTCCAATTGCAAACTGTGTTTTCACCTGCAAAGAATATGTAAAAATGCCAGCTTTTGTTTCCTCTTCAAGGTGTAAAATAAATGGAGATTTTGAGCATGGTACTTGTAAAACTGTTAAAATGAACTATATGGAAAAAATAAGTTTGTCCTCTGACAGTCCTTATATGTACGGAATGTGTATATTGTTGTCATCAGCTTTCATGCAGAGAAAGTCATTATGGAACACCAAACAATATCTAATGTGAAGCTCAGCTATAAATCTATAAGAGTCTGGGTGAACTATTTGAAACTGGGGCAGGATTATTCTTGACAATCCATTATTATTATTGAGTTTCCAGAAGGATGATCTAGGAAATTGTTTTATTCATTGGCATTCATTCTCTATTGTATGTATCTAATCTTTCAGATAACAGATTGGTCCTTTTATGTGAATTTATGTGAAGCAGAAATGCAAAATGAGACATTTAAAATTAAGATTGAATGTCACTCCTGAGCACAGATAAATCATAAATCCTGGCTCTTAAATTTGAGGATCTCATCTTGGGATCTTCAAAACTAGAATATCCCCTCATGCCATGGCCCTAGTCCAGTTATCCTCTATGAATCCATTTCAAATAATATTTGAGTATTCTGATTATCAGTCCTCTGTGTAATATGTAGCATGGCCATAGCAGGTGGGCAGAAATGCAGTTCAGCTAAACTAACATGCCCGTGTTTTGTTAAAACTGACATAGTAATTTGGAGACCTGAAGTCTGCCTGATAGTTCAACTATCATAGATTGTTATAGTTGATTTATATGATAGAGCAACTAAGATGATTAAGGGCCTAGAGAGTAAAACATATAAAGAACGGTTGCAGGAAATGGGTTTGTTTAGTCTATTTAAAAGAAGGACCAGGGGTGACATGTTAGCAGTGTTCCAATGTTTGAGGAGCTTACACAAAAAAGAGGGGGGGGGCAACCTATTTTCCAAAGAACCAGAAGGCAAGATAAAAAAATAATAGATAGAAACTAATTAAAGAGAGAAACAACCTGGATCTAAGGAAAAACTTCCTAACAGTGAGAACAATTAGCAGCTTGCCTTCACTGGAGGCTTTTAAGAATAGAGTGGACAGCCACTTGTCTGAAATGGTATAGAGTTTCCTATTGAGCAGGGGGTTCGACTAGAAGATCTCCAAGGTACCTTCCAACTCTGCTATTTTGTTCTGTTCATCCAACTTTTCCAGAAGTACAGAGATTCGTCCAATTATTTTCCCTGTCCAGATTACTTCTTCCCAACCTAGTTCTATCTACTTTCTGTTACATGAATAGGGACAATTTCAGCCACCTAAGTTCATAATGAATGGAAACCAATCAAGGAAGTAACCAACCTAGAACTAATGAAAAATTTCCTGACAGTGAGAACAATCAACCAGTGGAATGGCTTGCCTTCAGAAATTGTGGGTGCTTCATCACTGGAGGTTTTTAAGAAGAGATTGGACAACCAATTGTCTGAGTATAAGGTTTCCTGCCTGAACAATGGGTTAGACTAGAAGACCTCCAAGCTCCTTTCCAAGTCTGTTATTCTATCAGCCTGGGACTGTAAACTGATGAAAGTTTGCTACATTGAATGAATGAATGAATTCTTTATTTGCCAAATGTGATTAGACACACAAGGAATTTGTATTGGTGCATAGGCTCTCAGTGGACATAAAAAGAAAAGATACATTCGTCAAGAATCATAAGGTACAACACTTAATATAGTCATAGGGTATTAATAGGCAATCAAATCATACTAGGAAAAAGTCAATATAAATCGTAAGGAATTATTTGTTTAGCAGAGTGATGGCAGGGAATTATTTGTTTAGCAGAGTGATGGCTTTCGGGGAAAAACTGTTCTTGTGTCTAGTTGTTCTGGTGTGCAGTGCTCTATAGCATCGTTTTGAGGGAAGGAGTTGAAACAGTTTATGTCCAGGATGTGAGGGGTCTGTAAATATTTTCACAGCCCTCTTTTTGACTCATTGAGTGGATTAGTTTATGGAAACCAATCAAGGAGAGAAGCAATTATCCATTATCCTGTTATATCGTTCTTCTTTCCTTCCTACTTTCTCCACAGAAAACCATGCCAGCAGAGAACACTACAGAAGTGACCACATTCATCTTATCTGGACTGACCACCAACCACAACACTGAACTGGTGCTTTTTGTCCTTTTCATTGCCATTTATACTTTGATCCTGATTGGCAATATTCTCATCGTCATCACCATCGTCTTCGACAACCAGTTGCACAGCCCCATGTACTTCTTCCTCAGCAATCTCTCCTTCATCGATGTTTGCCATTCCTCAGTGGTCATGCCCAAAATGCTAGCGGACTTCCTGACTGAGTCCAAAACCATCTCCTTTGGAGAATGCATCGCGCAGATGTTCTTCCTCCACCTCTTTGCCTGCACAGAGATCTTCCTTCTCACCATCATGGCCTACGATCGCTATGCCGCCATATGTCACCCTCTGCATTACACAACTATCATGAGCCGCCGGATCTGCCTCAGCTTGGCGGTGGCCATGTGGCTAGGAGGCCTTGTTCACTCCATTGCTTTGACGGCCTTGACCCTCAGCGTGCCCTACTGTGGCCCCAACTCCATTGACAACTTTTTTTGTGATGTCCCCCTGGTCATCAAACTCGCCTGTGCCAACACCTACATTTTTGAGGTCCTCATCGTCTCCAATTCAGGATTGATCTCTGTGGTTTGCTTTATTGTTTTGGTCATCTCGTATGTGGTCATCCTGGTCTCCTTGAGGAACCACTTCTCTGAAGGGCGGGGCAAGGCTCTGTCTACTTGCGCTGCTCACCTGACTGTCGTCACCTTCTTCTTGGGCCACTGTATCTTCATCTATCTCCGGCCAGCCAAGAGTTTGGCCGCAGATAAGGTTGTTTCCATCTTCTTCACAGCTGTGACACCCCTGCTCAACCCGGTCATCTACACATTGCGTAATGAGGACATGTTAAATGCCTTGAATAAGCTCCGTGGCCGGCAAATCCATGCAGGAGCCAAAGGCATTCATTAAAAAGGCTAAAATATTTCAAGATGGGGCACTGTGTCTTTGTAATAATTTGATAATCAATAGAAATAGTAAGGTGTCTACCCCAGACAAGGAAGCAGGCCTCTGATCTTATGTTACCTCCAAAATGAATAACAAAATAACAGTTGGAAGGGACCTTGGAGGTCTTCTAGTCCAACCCTCCCCCCTGCTCAAGCAGGAACACTGATAATATTTTAGAACTGGGCTTTGTATGTTTGTTACTCTTTAAATTGGGGCAAACAACCTTTTGCATGCGAGTGTGAAAAAAATAAAGCTATGGGCAACCCTCCACTTATAACCACAATTAAATAAAATTCAATGGTGAAAAAAGTTAGGTTCTACATTTAGGCAAGAAAAACCAAATGCACAGGTACAGAATAAGTGGTACGTTGCTCAATAGTAGTAACTGCAAGAGAGATCTTGGAATCCTAATGAACAATCACTTAAATATGAGCCAGCAGTGAGCTATAGCTGCCAAAAAAGCCAACACAGTTCTAGGGTGTATTACCAGAGGGACAGAATCAAGATAATGTGAAGTGTGAATACCAGACAGAGGTGCTATTCAGCAGGTTCTGACCAGTTCTGGAGAACTGGTAGTGGAAACTTTGAGTGCTTCAGAGAACCGGCAAATACCACCTCTGACTGGAGATTTTACAATATCCTTCCCCTGCCACACATATCAAGCCACACCCACAGAACCAGTAGTAAAAAAAATTGAATCCCACCACTGGTGAATACCACTTTATAATGCCTTGGTAAGACTACACTTGGAATCCTGCATCCAGTTTTGGTCGCCACAATGTAAAAAAGAGAAGAGCAGCAAAGAAGATTAGGGGACTGGAGGCTAAAACATATAAAGGCTAGTTGAAAATTACAGACCAATCTCTTTATGCTGCGTCACTTGTAAAGTCATGGAATCAATTATTAACCAATCCATTATCCTCCACTTAAAGACAAACAACCTACTCTCTAATAAACAATTTGGTTTCAGAAAAAAACTATCCTGTAATCTGCAACTCTTACACTGCAAAAACATATGGACTACACAACTAGATCAGGGTAAAGTAATAGACGCAATCTACATAGACTTCTGTAAAGCCTTTGATTCAGTGGTACATGACAAACTACTCTTAAAACTAAAATCTTATGGTATCTCTGGACACCTGCATAACTGGATAGAAGCATTCCTGTCAAACAGACAACAAATGGTCAAAATTGGGCGTGTCCTATCAAATTCTGTACCTGTCAACAGTGATGTCCCCCAAGGCAGTGTTCTAGGACCAACTCTCTTCATACTCTACATAAATGACCTATGTGATCATATTAAGACCAACTGTGTTCTCTTTGCTGATGAAATAAAGCTATTTAACACCACAGACAATACTGTTACCCTTCAAAAAGACCTCGCCTATGTATCAGAATGGTCAAACAAATGGCAACTTCAAATCTCAACAAATAAATGCTCTGTCTTACATATTGGCAAAAAAAAATCAGAAAATAATCAAGAGCTTGTTGATGATCCAAACTCTGTCAAGGATCTTGGAGAACTCATCTCTAATGATCTAAGTGCTAGAGCCCACTGTAACTACATAGCCAAAAAGGCATTAAGAGTTGTTAACCTAATCTTACATAGCTTTTTCTCTGGTAATATTACACTACTAACTAGAGCATACAAAACATTTGCTAGACCAATACTTGAATACAGCTCATCAGTCTGGAACCCACATTACGTATCTGTTATTAGCACAGTTGAGAAAGTCCAGAAATATTTCACAAGAAGAGTTCTCCACTCCTCTACTCGTTGCAGAATACCTTATGCCACCAGACTTGAAATTCAAGACCTAGAAAACCTAGAACTACGCCGCCTTCAGTCTGATCTAAGTATAGTACTGTATATAAAATCATACATTGCAATGTCCTACCTGTCAATGAATACTTCAGCTTCAACCATAACAATACAAGAGCAACAATAGATACAAACTCAAGCTTAATCGCACCAAACTTGATTGCAGGAAATACGACTTCAGCAACAGAGTGGTCAATGTCTGAAATACTCTACCTGACTCTGTGGTTTCTTCCCCAAACCCCCAAAACTTTAATCTTAGACTTTCTACTATTGACCTCACCCGTTTCCTAAGAGGTCTGTAGGGGGCGTGCATAAGTGCACCAATGTGCCTACCATCCCTGTCCTATTGTTTCTTTTATTTTTCTTATATGTATCCATGTATTCATAACTATGTTTTTACTTATACCTATTATCTTGTAAGCAATTGACAAACCAAATAAAATTTATAAATAAATAAATAAAAAATGTTCGCAGGAACTTTGTGTGTCTAGTCTGATGAAAAGAAGGACTAGGGGAGACATACTAGCAGTGTTCCAATATCTCAGGGGTTGCCCCAAAGAACAGGGAGTCAAGCTCCAAAGCACCTGAAGGCAGAATAAGAAGCAATGGATGGAAACTAATCAGGGAGAGAAGCAACCTAGAACTAAGGAGAAATTTCCTGACAGAACAATTAATCAGTGGAACAACTTGCCTCCAGAAGTTGTGAATTCTCCAACACTGGAAGTTTTTAAGAAGAGCTTGGGCTTGGAGGTTTATCTGTGTCCTCAGGGTCACCTGAGTAGTTCTATTTTAATGTTTTTATTTTTATTAAATATAGAAAGAGCAAAAATTTCAATGTCTGTATAAACTGTGTGGTCTGGGTATAGTTAATTTGAGCAATCATCATGATAACAATAGTATTCATGACACTAGCATTAATCATATAATAATAATAATGCCTCATCATAACTTTAATATTAAACATATAATGATAGTAGTGCTTAATTATCCATTTGATAAACCCTTTTTACAAAATTAGTCATTCTCTTGTGTTTTTTAAAATTCTAACTTTTGTTTCTGCTAGTTAGCCATTGATAAAATGAATCCCTTATTGAAAAATACTCAGTGTCTCCCTTGTCTTTGATTTTAAGTGTTAATCTGTCCATTTCTGTACATTCTAGTATTTTTATATTCTGTAGGGATCTCTATATTCTTCCAGTGTTGTGCAAATGTAATTCTAGCCTCTGTTAACACATGTAGTATTAAGTATTAAGTACATATTCACTTTATTATATTTTTCTGATATGATACCCAACAGGAATGTTTCTGGTTTAAAGTCTATATATTCCTTTACAAAAAAAAAATTCTATCCATTTTTGTCCAATTTTTTTTTTTTTTTGCCTTTGTCTTCTCCTATTTCTTGACACGCTAGTTGGCCAACTCATCCCCTTGTAAAAAAAATCTTCTTCCGGAGCCAGAGTTTCTGCATGGACTTCTTTACCTCTTCGTTCCTCAGGGTATAGATCACAGGGTTGAGGAGAGGAGTAACCATGGTGTAGAAGACAGCTACCAGTTTGTCTGAGGAGAGGTTGGAAGCAGGGCGGCTGTAGAGGACGATGCATGGCCCCAGGAACAAGACCACAACCAGTAAGTGGGCACTACAGGTTGAGAAAGCTTTGCGACGGCCTTCAGACGTCTGTCTTCTCAGTGAGAACAGGATGATGATGTAGGAAGTCACTAAGGCCAAGAAGCACACCAAGGAGATCATGCCACTGTTTGATACGATGAGAACCCCAGTGAAGTATGTATCAGTGCAAGCCAACTTGATGACCGGTGGGACATCACAGAAAAAGCTGTCTATGACATTTGGGCCACAGTAAGGGAGGCGAATGGTGAGAACCATCTGGACCAAGGAGTGGACAGTTGCACCCACCCACAAACCACCCACCAAGAATGCACAAATCTTCAGGTTGACATGTTTCATATAGTGCAATGGGTAGCAGATGGCAATGCAACGGTCATAAGCCATGATAGTCAGGAGGAAGATCTCAGCACAGGCACAGATGTGGAGGAAGAAGAGCTGGGCCACACATCCCCCGAAGGAGATGACCTTCTGGGAGAGGAAGGTGTCAAGCAGCATCTTGGGTGTAGTGACCGAGGAATGGCAGATGTCAATTAAGGAGAGGTTCCCCAAGAAGAAGTACATGGGGATGTGGAGGCATGGGTCACAAGCCACCGTCACTATGATGAGGACATTCCCTATTAAAATCAGCAGGTAGATGATGAAAAAAATGACAAATAAAACCAGCTCCAGACTCTGGATATCAGTCAGTCCCAAGAACACAAAATAGGTTACTGTCTGGTTGAACTCTGACACTGGGGTGGGATGGACTGAAGTCCACACAGTCAACCTAAATAGAGAGAAATAATATATTTGCTTCAGAACACTTCCAAGTCTACATACATAGAAATACACACCTAGAAACTATTTCTCAATATGAATATATATCCCGTAACCACTTCCTTATATCTCAAGGAAATAATGTGAAGTTACTGTCTTCAATCAAGGCTGGAAAACATTTACTACTCTAGGGTCCTTCCTCGATTTCTTTCTTTCTATCCAGCCATCTGTCATCAATCCATCACAGATAGACCTCCACTGCTTCAGATATACTGTCAGAATAGAATATAGAGTAGAGTAGAGTAGAGTAGAGTAGAGTAGAGTAGAGTAGAGTAGAGTAGAGTAGAGTAGAATAGAATAGAATAGAATAGAATAGAATAGAATAGAATAGAATA